ATCTGCCCAGGTCCTTGCCTGTCCTCCTGGTGACCTCAGGGAAGATGGGGCCGGGCCCTGTCCTCTAGCAGCTGATGTCAGCCTCTGAGCCCTGGCTCCCCAGGCCCTCCCCTCTGCCCTGCCCTTCTGGACCGGGCTTGCAGGGCGGTTCGTGGGTGCCAGGCCCGTTTCCAGGACCGTCTCTGGTCTGCTGAGCCTACAACTGACCTACCGTGCCCACTGCATGCCTATCTCAGCCGCCGCCGTGGCTCACTGCAAGCCGGGCCAGGGCAAGGCCTGCGCCTCGATGCCCCCCCGGAGTTCGTGTGCTGAGACTTCACCCGGGGTGACGGGGCCCAGGACTCTTGCGGCGGGGAGTCCGTCAGTCCGTCACTCAAGCAGGGCACACAAAGCCACCAGGCTCCAGAAACCCATCAGCCAAGTGGCTCCCAGCAAACGTGCCACTTAATTACGCCGAAGCATTTCATGAATAATTGGAAGTCTTTGACTTGGGCCATGCGTTAAATATTTAATGAGAGAAGACACGCGAAGTTTAAGTATTTGGAAAAATGCAAATGTGCAGTGTTCTCTTACTATGACTGTGTTGTTGGGAGCAGGTAATTGGAGTAAAGCAGGAAAACAGTGGACGACAAACACGGAGCGGGGAAAGGGGAGTTGGCCGAGGGGCTGTCACCGCCACCACCACAAGGAGGCGGCGGGGTCATCAGCCCCTCGGGCCGTCTGTCACAGCGCTGTGTGCCAGCATCTTTGGGGGCCCATGGCGGACACCGCCGCTCAGGGCCAGGAAGATTCAGGGCCGCTCATCTCCTGAGACCTGTGCTGTCCATCAGGACAAGGGGGATGACCCAAGGATTGTGGACCTCAAGGGCCATCTGCACCAGGCAAGAAGTGTCAGGTTGCTGAGGAGCAGGGACAGAGGGCGGCTGTAGTCAGAGCAGGATGCTGGACACTGCTGTGGTGTCAGTCAGGCAGACACACCAGGAGGAGCACCCGTGGGACAGAGTCCGGGAGAAGGGTGAACTGGTCAGGCAGGCCAGTCAAAGGCTCATTCCCACCTGCAGGTCAGGGGACAGGTGGCGCCCGGGCCACAGGTGTGGGCGGAAGCCCAAGGGTTGCAGCAGGAGGAAGAGCTTGGGACACAGTGGTTAAGGACAGAGCGACTGTCTCCTGCGCTCCGGCTACCTCTGTGTGGCTTCCACGGAAGCGGATGAGTGCTATGAAATTTATTATTTATCCTTATTTATTATTTAGCAGCTAAAGGTTACAATAACAGCTCATCCGTTCTACATCACTGGCATTCAGAATGGGCATGGCACCTTCATAAATGAAAGGAAATAACCGGAAAACCACGCTGAGTCTACTATTGCTGTAGAATGCCTTAAATATATTCTAAAGGTGAAGCCAGCGTCGCCGCATCTGCAGGTTCCGAGTAGGGAAATAATGGAAGTATCATCCACACGCACGTTCCCATCAACCTTTAGAGCTCATTCCCCGCCCCCCCCCAGGGGTTTACTGATGACACCTGGGCTCGCCTTCCATCACCACGCCGACGGATCCAAAGACACAGAGGAGTAGCGAGAAGATGGAAATTATCCATCATCTACCTGCAACTTTAAGCAAGTTTCTTAGAATCACAGTCTCGGGATGGGAACAGAAATGAAGGCTCTCAGATATGTGGATGAAATGCAAAGGCCGACAGCCGCCTCCCACGGGGCCTGGCTCTCCGCGCACGCGAGCCTGTGCCCGGCGCGGTGGCTGCCCGCGCACACATCCGGCTCTGTGGCTGCCTCTGCCCTGCCAGGCCGCTCCACGGACGCAGTGCCCAGAGGCATGCTGCCGAGGATGGGCATGGTGCTGGCGGCAATGCAGAGCCCCAAGGCTGGGTGCACACGAGGGTGATTCTTGGGGATGAAGGGGGTCCAGGACAGATCTGGGGACAGCAAGCACTCAGGACAAGGCACTGGCGAGGCCGATGGTGGCATCAGGGAGGCCCACCCACAGAGCCACAGCTGGTCCACCAGACCAAGCCGGGAGGGGGACAGAGCTGACCCCTAGCTTCCCCCTCTTTCCTGAAGCTTCTTCCAATCCCAGACCGCAGAAGGAGAGAGGCCTATTGCTTGCCACTTGCCTCCAGTTTGGGGTGACTGGACCAGGGACCTGACTCTGGGGATGACGGATCCTGGGCAGCTGGCTCTGAGGTGCCTGCCACATCTCGTAGCTGCACCGAGACCTCCTGTAGTCACTCCGGGCACGTCAAGCTGGCTGTGTCGGTGCAGGCACAGGTTGGCTGGCCAGGAGCTCATCGCCACCGCAACCTCCTCTTATACTGAATTCCTTGGAGACCCTGGGTGGGGACAAGTGTCTACGGAGGTGTGAGCAGTGGGGATGGGAAGTCCGCCTGGAGGGAGGATTTCCCTGAGGGGAAGTTCCAGCTTCTGAACTGACTGCAGCGGGCCCCAGGGCCCTTGGCTCACAGCCTAGGGGGGGAGCGGCTCCGGCAGGCCGCCGATGGAGTCCCGGGCATCACGGGGTCCCTGTGGAGTTGGTCATGGAGCCGGCTGAGGTCGCAGTACTGTGCTCACCGCGTCACTGTCAGGGCTGCCTCTGGGGAGGGAACCCTCTGAGGGCACGGACACCAACATCTCCACGTTCTGTGCGCACGCCAAGGGCAGCCCCTTGGTGTGGGTTCAGTGCGGAGCCTCCTCCTGGGATTTGTGTGTGAAGGTGGGTTTCTGAAGTGCAGTGTGAGGGGTCACGAAGGCCCTGTGAGAGGCCTTCCGAACCACTGTGACAGGACACCTGGCGTGAACCAGCGTGAACCAGGAAAGGGCTGCGTGGCTCATAGTTTTGGGGGTTCCCTCTACCTCCAGGGGACCCGGTGATTTGGGGACAGAAGTTGGAGCTCATGTCGAGGGTGTCTCTGACCTCCCTGTGACTGGGAAGAAACAGAATAAAGTGAGAGGGCGCGGGAGCACCCCTACTTTCAAGGGCACCCCCAGTGAGTGAACTCCCATCCACAGGGACCCATACCGAATGCCTCTACTCCCTGCAGAGCAGCTGAGGCTGGGGCCCCCGCCTTCCCCACACCGGAGGACACACCAGACCCAAAGTGGAGTATGAAGTCAGCGAAGGGCTGGCCACAGATGGACAGGGTCAGCTCCTGCGGGAAGGTGTTTGGAGAGGACAGGGCCTCCCCAGCTCTGCCCCTGGCCCTCCTCCCGCCCACCAGCTCCCCTGGGTGCCATCCGCCAGGCGACCTCGCCAGAGCTGGGCAGAAGCCAGCGCCCGGCTCTTGGGCCACCAGAACATGATTACAAATTCCCCATCTCAGATACTCTGATTGTCCCGGAGAGAATAACACGCACCCTTCCTTCCCTGCGCTTTCCCACCACCCCCACCCCGGCCCTGCTGCTCTCCAAATCCCGACCAGCCTCTCAGCCTCAGCCCGCGCTCTCGCACCCAGCCTCCTCAGCAGGGACCACACAGTCCACAGAACTGTCCTGGTCTGAAGCAGTGCATCTCCCCCTCCCGCTCCCCAACGTCACCTCCCCAGGCTGCTGTGATAGCCCAGCACTGGCGGGTGCCACCAGCATCTGTCCTGCTCTGTTGGGGCAGAGGTGGGGGAGGGGAGAGGCGGCCTCAGCGCAGGGGGCTGGCTGTGAGGATGCTGCTGCCCTGGCCAGGCCCACCCTGTCTGCGCTGTCTCCATTTTATATGGAGCCCTCCCGCCCCCAGCCAGCCTGCTCCACGCTGAGCGGACGAGATGCCATTCTGGAGGTCATCACAGGTTCAATGACATTCTGTGGTCAGGTGATCAGCCTCTGCCAGGAAAGCAGGACAGGCTCCACCTGGCTGTGACCCAAGGACAGGCCCTCCACCTGGCCATGACCCAGAGAAGAGGGCGCTGCCTTTTGCAAACCCCAGGGGTTGCCCACCCAGCCCTGCCATCACCTCCCCGCCTGCCTGCCAAGGTCTCTCTGGTGGCTCTGGGCAGAGACACCCATGGAGTCACAGATACAAGTGACCTTTGCCTCCTGTGTGAACTTCCATCAAGTTCCACCAGCACAGCTCTGCCCACCTTCTACCCAAACCCATGCTGCCAGGAACGCTGGAGCTGGTTTTGTGTGAGGACTGCTTCCACAGCCCTTTGGTATGACTCCTCCTCCTGAATCTTGGGATTGGGCCTCGTCTCTTTAGTTGTAATGATTTTGCTTCCTAAGATTAGGAGGGGAGGCCTCAGCCACAAAATCACACTGGTTTAAAATATTTATTAATTAAAAAAAATTTAAAATTTTTGTACAAAGATGATGAGAAAAATCTCATGCAAACTCTGGGCATACAATAAAAATAACTCAAATATTGGGATGATGGTTTTGTACAAAATAATTCTCTTTAAGAAGGACCTCCGACAGCCTGTGAAATGCTCTTCTCCCGGCCTGGCTGGGCCCGTGGAGGAATGCGATCACACTCAGGCCTCTGCGCGTGGTCCGTGGTCCCTCGTGTGGAATGTCCAGTTGCCACTAGGATGAACGATGAAGCCCTATTGCTACGACTCAGGAGATGAGACCAAGACCTGGGGACGGAGTACAGGATTCCTAAATACCATGAGGTCTGCAAAAACGAAGGCCTAGCACATCCCCCCACGGAGAGATGGAAACGCCCCGCCATCACTGTGGATGGTGCCTGTCTCTGCTTCTTACAAACCTGCAGTGGATTATAATTTGTGTATATTACAAGTCATTTGCATAATGAAAACAATTAAGGGATCCACGTATCATGGCAATTAGAAATGCATCAAACTCTGAATGTTGTACAAAAGAGAGCTTCAATATGAAACAGTAATCCTCTGTGAAGGACCTTGCAGAGCCTGCGCCAGCGGCCTCAGCCCCGGCCCAAGGCGGCCCACCCCACCTGAGGCGGCCCCACCCCAAGGCGGCCCCACCCTGCCCCGAGGCGGCCCAGCCCCCCACCCGCGGCCACATCTCCTCCTGTCCACAGACTCATCTCATTCTTCTCAGCCGCAATCTGTTCTCCTTGTCCCGCTTCTTAAGGATTAGGATGAATTGATTGAAAAAGTGTTCCTGGTCCTTCCTTTTCTGAACAAGCCGAAACCTCTGATCACGGCCATACTTCTCCGCAAACTCCTTAAAGGTGGTTCTGAAGAAGAGAGAGTTTGCTGAGATGGAGACCCAGCTTGCGTTCCCCATGCGTACGGGAGCTTGGTTGACGTGGTGAGCAGCCCGAGGTCTCACCAGGCACCAGCCCCCTGCAGGGCTGTGGCCTGTCCCTCTGAGGTGCTCCTACCCTGCATCAGTGCGTCCTGGAGCCCCACCCCCTGCCCTGCTGCCTCCATCCCAGGCCCCCTCTGCCTCTGCCTCTCCTAACGGGGCTTCGTGCACGGCCTCCTGTGTGCCCGGCCAGGGCGGCAGGCCACCTCCAGGGCTTCGTGCACGGCCTCCTGTGTGCCCTGCCAGGGCCGGCAGGCCACCTCTGCCTCTGCCTCTCCTCACGGGGCTTCATGCATGGCCTCCTGTGTGCCCGGCCAGGGCCGGCAGGCCCCCTCTGCCTCAGGGCTTTGTGCACGGCCTCCTGTGTGCCCGGCCAGGGCCGGCAGGCCCCCTCTGCCTCTGCTTCTCCTCACAGGGCTTCGCGCACGGTCTCCTGTGTGCCCGGCCAGGGCTGGCAGGCCACCTCCAGGACATCTGCCTTCGGAGGCGCGTGAGGGGCTGGGGGGCTAGAGGGGACTGGATTAGCCAACAGCACCCACAGCTGCGCCCTGAAGATGTTCAAGGTCATGTACCGGCAGACGTGCTAGAGACGGTTTAGCAGAACAGATCTGAAAGCCGTGTTCTAACCACCACAAGTTACAGCCCTGCGGTCAGCCCTCTGTACCTGGGTGACACTTTGCACTCCTCGAGAAGTTTCTTAAACTCTTCTTTGGCTAGCAGCAATTTACTTTTCTTTTCCTTGTATTCTTCTTTTATCCTTGTCTTGACAAACTGTTCAAATATCTTAAAACACACAGAATAGAAAGTATTGTCAGACACAAATATTGCATTCCAGACGCAGCACAAGCGACCAGCGGAACCGGAAGGAAGCGCTTTGTCCTGCTGCTGGCCGGGCCCTGCCAGGGGAGCCGATAACTCGCTTGTCCCCTGGGCCGCCGCTGCTCTGTGGGGTCAGGAGCCAGGCACCGCTGGGAAGTCCTACTCTTGATGCCCCCGGGGCCCCAGCATCATTTTAAAAGCTTTTTATTGTTATTGTAAAGGTGATTATTCCAGGACCTTCTTCTGGAAACTAGGAGCTGCTTCTCCTCCATCAGAGTAAGATGGCTCCTTGTTCTAACCACCACTTCCCCACTACAGAGCCACAGAAAGGGAAGGACCAAGTGGTTTCATTTGTAATGCTAGCCAAGCCTCAAGAACACTTCAAAGTAAACCCTGGATAAGCCTTGTGCTGAGGTAAATATAAACCAAGAAAAATACCAACAAAATCCACATATAATCCTGGAAGCCCAGTAAAGAGTAATTCAGCATCATCCACAAAGTCCCTGGAGCCATCTGGTTCACAAGGGCCTTAGAGTCAGGCTCAGGCTGGGGCAGGAGGGGGAAGGGCTGAGGAGGGAGGAGGATGGGCTGGGTGGGAGGGGGAAGGGCTGGGGAGCAAGAGGGAAGGGCTGGGTGGGAGGGGGAAGGGCTGGGGAGGGAGGGCTGGGGAAGGGTTGGGGAGGGGAAGGGCTGAGGTGAGGAGGAAGAGCTGGGGAAGGGAGGGAGAGAGAAGGGCTGAAGTGGAAGGGGGAAGGACTGGGGAGGGGGAGGAAGGGCTGGGGAGGGAGGGAGGGAGAAGGGTTGAGAATGGAGGAGAAAGGGCTGGGGAGAGATGGGGAAGGGCTGAGGTAAGGAGCAGGAAGGGCTGGGTGGGGAGGGGAAGG